AAAAATCCAACACCAACAAGGACGCGAATGGTGAACCATGCGAGCAAGAGAAATATCAGAGAAGGAGAAGGAAAAAAAATGAGATGGATGATATCTGAAACGATCTACAGAAACGGTGGGAGAAGAAAAAAAAAATGCAGATCTGAAATGTGAACGATCTGGAACAAGGTCGGCGGGATGATGATGCGGCCGGAAAATGAGACGCGGTCGAAGATGATGACCCGAAAATAAGAAGACGCAGCCGAAAATTCGACGGTGACTGGCCGAAAAAGAACAGAACGACGGAGATTCGAACAGGTTCTGACTACGAACCAGAACTGAAAGCGGACGACGGCAGTTGCACTGTGGGACTGCAACAGCGAACCTGATGGTGTGACTCGCCGGAGAGGAAGTCTTCGGAGGAGAGAGTTGAAAGCATCATCTCTGATGTTGAAATCAACCGATAGATTATAAGATGCATGAGAAAAAGAAAAGAAAATTCACAAATCAGGATCAGATCTGGAAGAAAAGAGGAGAAAAAAAGCTGATGCAAAACAGATCTGGAAGAAAAGGAGTGAAAAGATACAGATGCAGAGGATATCTGGACGAAGAGATTTTAAAAAAAAAAAAAAATGTTGGCAGCGGAACCTCCATTCAGGGAGGATAAAAATGCTCTGATACCATATTAGAAGGTAAGAGAGAGTAAAGAGAAAATATTGATTTCATTGATTGTGGTGAATTGATTTGTACAATGAGTGAGCTCTTATATAGAAGAGCATAACATAAAAGAGAGATCTAGAATATCATTAAAATACTAAACTACCCTTATACCTAATATCTAATAACTCCTACCCTTTGAACTAGCTTTTGGAGTGGTGTATCCCAAAGTTCTTTACATGTCGAATTAACATTAAAAAATTATATTATCTCACGCAATCGTAATGATAATGTACACAAGAATCTCTTCAGCATGCAATGCTTTCTAGTCCATTCTGTAGTGCATTCCTTTTTTCCTTTTTATTTGTTTCGATTTGTTCCATGTTTCATTTAAGGCTATTTTGTTATTATCTCATGCCAGAACCGTAAATCTTGGCCACACAAAGCGAATCTGGAAAGTCTTTACCAGTCCAAGCTCCATAAACTTTTACAACATACCAAAGCACTTGAGAATTTGATCACATTAATTAATTAATTCTCTACCAATGGTGTTCGCTTTTATTGGATCTTTGACTTGTCAACATTCTTTTGTCTGTAACTTGGGAAGATAATGCAGAAAACATAAAGTGAGCCATGATTAGGCTTGGACTGTACCCAATAAGATCGATCAAGATACATCAGATATAGGTATTCCCGGTGGTGGAGTCCCTCAGGTTCATCAAACCTTTGTCCTAGACTGTATTTAACTTAAAAGAAAGGTTTTCATCTATGTAGCACCGATACTTATACGGGACATGAAACACTCTGACCCGACACTCCGACACGTTAATTCTAAAAAATGTTAGATTTTGACACGTTAGGATACGTTTTGATATTGAATAATATTTTTAATTTATGTTGTGTATATTACATTTAATATTTAATAATTTAACAAAAAAATAAAGCTAAACTTATAATACTCATTGATTTTGCAAAGAAACATAAGATATCACAAATATTTATATTAAATTCAATAAAATGGTAATAGTAATCTAACTAATCTAATAGTTAGAACTAAAAATGCAACGCAACGCAACCTTTGAATTTTTTTTAAGTTTTTACAACACGTGTTGAAGTGTCGGGGAGTGTCGGAGTGTCTAAGAGTGTCGGACACAACACGTCGAGGTTTTTGAAATGTGGTGCTTCATAACTGTTCATTGTGTACAAAGAAAACTTACAAAATTAATTCTTGTAACCTGATTACGTGTCGATCAACTACTCTGTTTTATGTCCTAATTTAATGTGAATTTTGAATTCTTGACCTCCTATCACAAAATTTTCTTGCTCTACTATTCGTATTGCCCCACTTATATATGATTCGGTTTCTGGTGGTACGATGAATGCTAATGGGCTTACTATCTTTGGTTTTGATGATGAATAGTGGTAGACAACAAAATCAGTTTGTGAAGGAATAAAATCACTTACGAATATATAATCCTTGAAGTGCTATTGCTTTACGTTTAATTATTTATGCAGAGGACCAAATATAGTTAGCTCAATTCAAAACCTATCAACTTCAGCACTTTATACTAGCACATTAGGGTACGTGTTCGGTAGTAAAATCCAAAGATTAGAATCACTCTCTAGGGAGCGGTTGATTTAGTCTCTTTTTATTTTCTATTCTTATTTCTTGAATGTGTACACTATTAAACTTTAAACTAATTTTTTTTTTATAAACTTGGTTAATATTCAGAACTGATTAATAACAATGATAAAAGGATGAACACAAATGTGGAGTATCTAGGATTCTTGAATCATGGGTGTTCCAGAAACTATGCATTCTTGCATTTTTGCAGTGCTATGACACTTTAATCTCATAATTCGACTCACTAATGCTATTTCACTAGAATTTTCCAATTCCAGTTCAGTTCCTCAAAAGCTTCCTTTCTCAAGATCTTCTGAATCTCTAAGAATTATATCAAATACCTCCTTGGATTATCCCTAACCTCAAGGGTTTAATTAGCAAAAGAACACAACCCGATTTCCCAATCACAATGCTAAATTGATCCAAGATCCTGTTGGAAACTCGGTTCCCTTAACTCGGCTCAGAAGCCTTTTACGGAAGTCAGTCAACAAGATTCTGGATCTCGGATCTCGGCAATATTATCTCGGCCTGAACTTCACCAGGTCGTGCACCGCAGCGAAAAAAACAAAAAAACACAAAGGAGAGAGAGAGAACACAAACAGATTTTAACGTGGGAAAACCTTCTCCAATGAAGAAGTACCCGCGGGACCTAGTCCAGTTCAAACATCCACTATGAAAATAATGGGTACAAAGAATCAAGATTCACCAATGTGGTGGTTAACTCAACCTCTCCAACAATGGTGATAATCAAACTTCCCTAGAGTTGTTTCACTCAAACTCTCTCTAGAGGTCTCTCAAATGCAAAGCTCAAAACTTTGCTCACAAATCTCTCAATAATTTTTTCTCATTCTAACTTAGTCTCCACCCACAACTAATGAATATATAGAGGAGGTGAGATCTAGGATTTAGGGTTTTTAGGAAACCCTTCAATTGACTTGGGCTTAGCATTGAAGGAGGAAGCCCAACAAATCCATTCCCATGGTTCTCTTGGACTTAAAATTGAAGAATTGCTAATAAATGAGACTAAAGAAAGCATCACAGTATTCATAAAAATAGGGATATCATCCAATCATCTTGAATCCCAGAAAAAGAACTTAGAATTCCATATTAACAAGAAACAAAATTAGAGAGTCTGAATTACAAACAACATGCATTACCAAATATCAAGAAAAGAGATCTTAGAGTGAAAATTTCCAGACTAGTATTTAAGCAAAACAAAATTCCTAAACTAGAGCTAGGAAGAAGTAGAGAAATCAGCTTGCATGAGGGTACTTGCTCTCTCCCTTGAAGATACTCTCTCCCTTGAAGATGTGTTGTCAATGCTCTTCATTGTCAAGAACTTGATCACATTTTCATCAAGCTTACACAGTTTCAAGACTCTCAAAAGAAACCAAAAACTCTTCACAGAAAATTAAAGAAAAACTAAAAACTATTCAGTCTAGTTGTTACAACCCACAAAACATCTATTAACAAATCTTCTTTAAACATTTGCTGCCCTTTGATCTTTTTGTCCATCCAAGGATTCAAAATTGTTCTAACCTTACATCTCATTAACGTGACCTTCTTTTTTTCTTATCTGAAAACAGTGAGGTAAAATTTTGTAAGTAAAAATACAATTACCTTTTCCTTAAATGAGCCATATTGGTTCTCTTTAGGCCCAATTACCTGTATTTTCAACACTCCACAGTCAAAATAAAATAGAAATCAGTCCATTAAAATAAGAACAATTTATTGCTAATAGTACGCGGCAAAAGAAGCTAATTTTCTGCATCTTCTTCTTAATTATTATTTGCTATACTACCTCAGAAAGAAAATAATAAAAGAAGCATTCATTTAACTTAGGGTTCATCGGATGTCATCTTGGAGGATAATAAATTTTTCCAGCAATCCCCTTGTAACTTTGTACTCCGAGGTATATAATTATAATATTAAAGTTGATTTTTTTCTTTCTCACCACGTCAATCGACAAGTTCTGAAAAGTGACTGGAAAGAGAGCAAAAAAAGAATTTTAATGTTATAACTATATACTTTCTGAAATATATTGTTATAATAATGTTGTAGGACAAAATATCATTCCTGCAACATTATTCTTATATTTTCCTCTAACTTATTAATAAGAATTTATATACAATCCACCCAAGTTAGTTATTATATAAGAATTGAGGCTCAACATAAATTATGTTAGAGAAATATAAAACCATTAATATAATCCTATTCAATAGCTTAAATTTTTGGGTTGAAATAATTCTTTACATAATACTAAGTCAACATGATTAAGTGGTCATAAGTTCGATCTTCACAGTTCTCATTCTCTTAATAAAAAATAATTAAATATTATGAAATTTTTTAGCACATGTAAGTTGAACCTGATGCATCATTCACTTTTCAAGTCTAATAAATTCTTGTGTGACGAGAAGTGTTAAAAAAATATGAAACCATTAATGTAAGTTTTTAGATTGAAATGATTCTTTACAAATTATTTTTAAAAAGTCTAATGGTAAATAGTGTTTTTATAACTTAATGCGGCAATAGCTAAATATTCTAGGTTCAAAAGCATTTTATGATATTCTTGAAAAAAAAAAATAAAGCATCATTTATTAAGACCTTATACAAATAATGTGGTTAGTGACGAAAACCCCACTTATATGAGTGTTTACTCTGCCTATTTAAAACCCCACTTATCTGAATATCTGATAAAATTTAACAGGCTCATAGTTTAGAAAGACGAGGCAAGCAGAAGATGGAAACAACACTAGTGTTCTTTCTTTACTATTTGTCCATAGCAATGTGTTGCTGCTGTGGCAACCTAGTGAGCGCTATTGAATCACCAAAGTACACAGTGATATTGTCTGAATCAGATTTTCAGATCAGACTCTACAATGAATCCTCATGGATGTCAGCTCCTGTTTCAGGAACTTCCTTCGAAAAGTCCACCAAAAGTGGATTTCACAGGTTTTTTTAATTTCTCATTTCGAATGATGTATGAGAACACAAGACAAAATGTTATATTATACCATACCGGATTCTTCTCAAACATCATCACATAATACTAACCCTGCATCTTATAATTTTATTTTGGAATTTTTTGTAAATATATGAGATATTATAAAAGATGGCAGTATGAAGTTATGGTAAAACTGCTACTTTGTTATTAAAAAGTGGGATAAAGTTATATTTATAAATTTTTTATTTACAAACTACACTATGTCTTACCAATAAGACACTCTTGGTAAAGTCTTACTCGTAAGACATAGTGTAATTTGTAAAAAAAAAATTTTTTTGTCAATATAACCTTTCACTTAATTGAAGACAGGAAATAGTTTTTATGCAAATTTACAATAGTAGAACTGGTTACAAAGATTGTTTTCACCTTATGGGTTTAATAGGGAGTGATTTATACGTGAGATATATAAATTTTTTGATAAATTCTAGTCTAAATAATTTTCTTTTTCCTCTTCTACAGATTATTATCTTCATATAGTTTAATTTTCTAAGTAGCATATAATTCTTTTGCTTATATCTTATTCTTAATCATGCACCAGGTTGTATCAATATATGCATGGAGCCAATTTGAATTCTTCAAAACTTGCATTTACTTCTCCGGTCATAACGAGCATCCCCTCATCACCCTCTGGGGATGGCTACAGTGTAAGATTGTATGTATCTGCTTACTTTCAGGGGAAACCTCCGCAGCCCAATCCTGAACTGAAGTTGCAGGTAGAGAAATGGAACACTCAATGCATAGCAGTTTGGAAATTCAGTGGGTTTGCTAAGGATGGTAACATTAACAAAGAAATTGAAGCTTTTTTAAGCACCCTAAACAAGCACTTAAATGGAAGTTCAGCAAGGATACAAGATACGAGTTCCTATACTATTGCTCAGTACAATGCTTCCTCTCGTGAAACTGAGCGCTTAAATGAAGTGTGGATAAAAGTGTCGGGGCTTAGGACTGATTGCTGAAGATTTGTTGTCTACCTTCTCATAATAGTTTCGTGTCATCTCATGTCATATATAAGGTCATATGTTAGAGGATTTCAGCCGTTTAGATACAAATCAACCGTAAAGAGAGAATAATCTAAGGAAAAAGGATTGAAAAGAATTCTATTGTGGAAAAAAGTGCAGCAAACATATTTACACTAGGACACGGAGTCGAATCCTGGAATAAAAAAAGAATTTCCAGAATACGGATCCGGATCCTAGTAGAAATAAGTTTTACTGCAAATTTTCTAATTTGCAGCAGCAGCAGAGCTATTAAAGCTTTGAAAAGAATTAGCGTAATTTGTATTTGGACGACTAAAATCTTCTTGCATGACTTCATATCATCTGAGAAGATCAATTAGAGAGTATCATGCCTCAGTGTCATTGTGTTTCAAGTGTTTAGTTTCAGTGTGTAATTGTGAGTCCAAGGTAAATAATGCACATACTCGAAATATGCCTCTTTTTAAAATTTCGAGAGTGCATGCTGTGGGGTAATCCTGATCTAAAGCTGCAACTTGTAAGTTCTTTGTGTAAGAAACTTGACAAACTATCATTTCTTATTTTGCGTTACTTGTCAAAACGAAAACTAAATTAGCCATTAATATATGGCTTTTTCTTAGTCCACCGTTGAAAAGATAGTGCTTTAGTCACTTAAAATATTTGTTAAAGATGAAAAAAAATTACTTTTATATATGTTTCGATTGGAACTGTTGTAATTTTTATTAAAAGTATGTTATTTGATTGTTACTTGCAAAGTTAGTAGTTTTTATATATTAAAATTATGAATTTGATCTTTTCTGGAAAAGGCATAAGTTACATACTTTTGATAAAAAAAACTTACAAAAATTTTCCTCAATACAAAAAGACTTCGTAACTTATTTGATAAAATTAATAAAGAACCCATCACTACTGAATTGTTTCAATAATCTACCTTCTTAACCCCTTATATATATGCGCATTTAATGAGAGAGCAAAGTTTATAAGTACGATTGGACTGAACTACAGGATGACAAGTTGCCCTGCATCTACCCAATGTAATGAACTAAACATCAGTTCTATTTTAAAAAATGGATACTATTTATCCGCATGTGAAAATTTCATCTTACTCACCAGTGAGTTTTGCTAGAGTTATCACCCATTTCCATCTACTTTCCATGTCGTCAGGTGAGTAGCAATTAATACTGAAAAGAGTGAAACCTTTCAAAAAGTACAAGTGATTAAAAAGAATTTCACTCAGATTAGATAATTTGAAGTGCTAAGTTAGCCTATTTTTCAGTTGTCAAAAGGTATTTGTAAGAATGTTCTTCAACGTTCAATTATGAACTGCATATCACTATGCAGTCAACCTTTTACGTTTCGCCATACTGTATCAAGTACAAGCTCTTAAAGGAATAATTATCATACAGTTATATGATTGCTGAGCTCTAGAACTCGCCTTGATCAGCATTGGCTGAAAATGTAAACTAAAGGTAAAAACAGCAGTAGCAGATTGGATGCCTCGCAGTTGTAAAGAAAAATGCACTACGTTTACTGTATTTATATCACCTTCCTTTCTTGTTTTTTAGTTAGCAGAGCTCTTGGTTCACCGTTGTATTCTCATACGTCCCCACATTTCCCGCAAGAGAAATAGCAAGGAGTGTGTTAACAAAGAATATTCTAGAGCAGGCTAAACAGAAAGCAGCAAGGGACTTGAGCATTGGCAGAAATCTGACAGTATAAGTAGGAGTATGAACGAAAAAATCTAGATATCTGACATCTGAATTGAGTCATGAGATTTGAGAGAGATTAGAGAGCCTCTAATTTCTCTACACTAATTTTTTTTTGATATAATTTTGCTTGTAATTTTCTGTCATTATTGTTCAATCTGATTTTCCTTGTATTAATTGTTTCGACTTGCTGTACTGTTGATTTGCTTCAATTTCTTGAACTGCTGAGACTAATGCCAATAATACAAGGCTTTGTTTTCATTCAACTACCCAATTGAGTTCTGTTCTCTGTTGTTATCTGCTAGGATCTTATCTTATTTCCTTTTCAATCGAACTACTCATTGGCTACTGTCTTTGTCACCTATTGCTGTTTCTTTCTTCGTTTCCAGTTATATCCCGGAAGGAAACATCGAATACTAAATAACTATAGTAAACCATCTTAATTCTAAAGGACTCATGATTTAGTAGCTTAAATATGTTCATAGTTTCTACTCTTTTTCCGGTTGCTGCTGTTGTCATAAAATTTCACCACTACTATTAAAGGAGAGCAAACTTGGATCACAACGTTGATCAAGAGAGCTAACATCAAATTCAATGAAACCATTGAATAAAGCAGGAGACTAATGATTTTAACTTATATACATTTTTTTGTTTGTTTAAGAACCCCAATATCCAGAAACCACTTTGAACCCGGACTAATTCAACCAAACTGAGTAAACACACTTAGGAAGACAAAGCTCCTTTAATGCCCATTTTTTTCATTCACAGACTTGAATTAAGACTTTGGTTAAGGAGAACAGAACTCCATGTCACTCACACCACCCTGCATTGATTAACTTAAGCACGATTTAAAAAGGTTCTCTGAATAAAAAAATTGAAATAACAAATTCAATCACATATTATGAAACCTAACCATGATCCATCGATCTCAAGTAAAAATTCAATCTTGATTAGGAAGAGGAAATTTCAGATATAATATATACGAGGGGAAAAAAAGGACCATATAAACTTTTCTTAATTTATTATTACATTACACTTATAAATTATTCTTTATTTATTTATTTTTGGTAAATAATTATTCTTTATTTTAATAACACTTACATTAAATCTATAAGCCAAATCTGTAATCCGCATGTTTACTCTCAAACTCGCAGAAGCTACCTCACCTTTGAAGCGCCATTTGCACGGGGATGAACATAGTTGAGGTCGGTGACTTAGGTGATATGGGTGTAGAGGCCTACATTTGTGGTCTTGTCTGGACAACATAGACTTTTCCATCCCTGATGACACCTTCAATGTCCTGAGGAGAGCCATACAACTCTTCAATTGCACTTCCTGCACGGGCAATGCTTGACAAGATTGACTTGCGAAAACTACCATCAATGATCAGTTGGTCTGATGAGTAATCAAGGACCACTTTTTCCTCTTCATCCATTGGCACACTGCTCAGAAAGGAAAATCAGTTAACCAATGTCAGAGAGCCTTCAATAGAATTGCAAAACAATTAATTGAAAGAGTTCACAGGACAAAATAATCCTCAATGCACATATCACGGACAGACTGAAACTTTACACAACAACTGACAACAATTAGCAACATAAATAGGCTTTTATAACTTGAGAGGTTATAAGCTTTCATGAGTAGAATGCATTTATAATTGCAAGTTTAAAACAAAATATTGAAAAGAAGTTTTTGTATATTGATATTGAATAAATTACATGAGTGAGTATTTATACAAGAAAGAATCGCTAAGAATGACTAAGCGATGACTAATCAATCCTATCACAATCCTAATCACAATCAATTCTAATCAATCACAATTAATCCTAATCAATCATAATCAATCCTAATCAATCCTAATTAATAGGAAATAAAAACGGAAACATGTTTGAATTCTAATTTTCTACACTCCCCCTCAAGTTGGGAGGTAAATATTGATCATTCCCAACTTGCCAATCAAGTCTTCGAATGCTGGACGGTGTAGGCCCTTGGTAAGGACATCTGTCGTTTGCTCTTTGGTTGGAACATATATCAAATGCACACTTCCATCATCTAATTTTTCTTTGATGAAGTGACGATCAACTTCCACGTGCTTTGTTCGATCATGATGCACAGGATTTTGAGCAATGCTAACAGCTGCCTTGTTGTCACAATATAGTTTTATTGGTAGGGAATATGAAATCTTCAACTCTTGAAGAAGTCTTCTCAACCAGATTCCTTCACAAACTCCATGAGCTAAAGCTTGAAATTCTGCTTCAGCACTACTTCTTGCAACCACTGTTTGCTTTTTGCTTCTCCAAGTAACAAGATTTCCCCACACATAGGTGCAATAGCCTGAGGTAGATCTTCTGTCTACTGATGAGCCTGCCCAATCTGCATCAGTGTAGATTTCAATTGTCCTTTTATACCCCTTTTTAAAGAATAATCCTCTTCCTGGAGTATTCTTGAGGTATCTAAGCACCCTATAGACTGCACTAAGATGCTTCTCCTTGGGTGAGTGCATGAATTGACTAATCATACTCACCGCAAAGGCAATGTCAGGACGCGTATGAGATAAGTAGATTAGTTTACCAACCAATCGCTGATATTGTTCTTTATCCACCTCATTCCCATCTTCAATACCTAACTTGGTATTAGGTTCCACAGGTGTCTCAGCAGGTTTACACCCTAACATTCCTGTTTCCAACAAAAGATCTAGAACATATTTCTTTTGTGTTAGAGTGATGCCTGTTTTGCTCCTAGCAACTTCCATACCAAGGAAATATTTGAGAGTGCCAAGGTCTTTGAGTTCAAATTGAGCTGCTAGAAATTTCTTCAAGGTGTTCAATTCCTCAATATCATCACCTGTAAGAATTATATCATCTACATATACAATAAGAATAGCAATTTTACCATCCTTAGAGTGTTTGTGGAAGAGAGTATGATCAGTCTGTGCTTGAATGAAGCCTCTTCTTTTGACTGCTTGTGTGAATTTGTCGAACCATTCTCTGGGAGACTGTTTTAATCCATATAGAGACTTTTTTAGTTTACACACTGATCCATTTCCCTTTTCAAAACCAGGTGGAGGATCCATATAGACTTCTTCATGTAAGTCACCATTTAGGAATGCATTCTTCACATCTAACTGTTGCAGAGGCCAATCTAGATTGGCAGCAAGAGATAAGAGAACTCGGATGGTATTGACTTTAGCAACCGGAGCAAAAGTCTCATGATAATCTATCCCATGAGTCTGAGTGAAACCCTTTGCAACCAATCTTGCCTTGTATCTGTTGATGCTATTATCTGCATTGAATTTTATTGTAAACACCCATTTGCATCCTACTGCCTTTTTTCCTTTGGGTAGGGTCACTATCTCCCAAGTTCCATTTCTTTCTAAAGCATTCATTTCTTCAAAGACAGCATCCCTCCATTTTTTATCATTGAGAGCCCCATGTATATTTCTCGGTATCTTTGTACTATCCAACATAGTATTGAAAGCACGAAACCCTGGGGACAACTTTCCATATGAAATATGATTAGAAATAGGATGAGTAGTACAAGATCGAGTACCTTTTCTGAGAGCAATGGGCAAGTGTAGATCATTTTCACCATGACACTCAAGTATTGGGGTGCTGGAACTAGAACATGGTTCAGAATCCTGGCAGTGTAGAGGCTCTGGGTTATTCACACTTTGAGGAGGCTTTCGCCTGCTATAAACTTGTCCCCATTTTGAGGAGGCTCCTGATGGTGAGGATTCTGTAGCTCCCCCTGTTTCCAAAAGTAGAGGTAATATTGTGGCATTAATAGGTTCCCATGACTGATCTTCATCTACTCCTATAGACTCCCCCTGAAGAGAAGTCGAGGGGAAGAAAGGGTCATTCTCAGAAAAAGTGACATCCATAGAGACAAAGACCTTACGAAGAGAGGGTGAATAACACTTATAGCCACGTTGAGTAGGAGAATAACCAATAAAGACACACTGGAGAGACTTAGGATCAAGCTTAGACCGTTGATGGGAGGGAATATGGACAAATACAACACAACCAAATAACTTGAGAGGTAAGGAGGAGACACCTCGGAAGGAAGGGAAGATACGAACAAGACTAGAAAGAGGAGACTGAAATTTCAGAATGCGAGATGGCATTCGATTTATCAGATACGAGGCAGTGAGAACTGCCTCTCCCCAAAGATATTTAGGAACACTCGTGGTAAACATAAGAGCCCGAGCAACTTCAAGGAGATGTCGGTTTTTTCTTTCCGCAACTCCGTTTTGTTGGGGGGTGTCAGGACACGAGCTTTGGTGAAGGATGCCATGTTGGGAAAGATATTCTCCAAGAATAGAGTTAAAATACTCTTTGCCATTATCTGTACGAAGAATTTGTATAGCAACTTGGAATTGGGTTTGAACCATGGCATGAAATTTTTTAAACACGGATGCAGCATCGGACTTATCCTTTAGAAGATACACCCAACAAACTCGAGAATGGTCATCAATGAAGGTAATGAACCATCGAGTACCTGAAATATTTTTAACACGGGCTGGACCCCATATGTCGCTATGAATTAAGGAAAATGGGGAAGAGTCATGGTGAACTTTAGAAGGATAATGAGCACGAGTATGCTTGGCAAGTTGACAAATATCACAAGAAAACAAACTTGGACTTTTATTAATAAATAAGTTTGGCAACAACTTCTGAAGATAAATAAAATTTGGATGGCCTAGCCTACGATGCCACAGCATAACATCATTACATGAATCAAAAGGAAACATAGAGTTTTTTTCTACGAAAACAGCTTCATGAGTCACATCCTCCTCAAAGTAGTAAAGTCCACCATCCTCTCTAGCACTGCCAATCATCCTCTCCGAGTCCTGTTCCTGAAAAACACAACCATGTGGAAAGAATTTAGCAAAGCAATGCAACTCAGAGGTGAGCTTGCTAATGGAAATGAGATTACAAGTCAGAGAAGGAACATAAAGAACTGATGTCAAAGTAATCAACTCAGAAAGTTTAATGGTTCCGTGTCCCGCAATCTGGGAAAAACTGCCATCGGCGATCTTGACCCGAGAAGGTTCAGAATATGGAGTGTATGAACAAAACAAGCCAAGATTACCTGTCATATGATCAGAGGCTCCAGAATCAAGGATCCAATGATTTTGACTATCAACATGGAAAGTTGTACCTTGCTGGACCACATGACTAGTGGCCTTAAGGTTGCTCGTGGTAATAAAAAGAGTGTTTTAAGGAAGCCATGAATAAAAAGAGAAGGGTTGACCGTTGATGAAAAATCAAGTTTTGTAAACTTTTGATCTGACCTCTGGAACAGGAAGGGGAGAAGCCGGCGAGAAGGTCTGTGCAAGTCGCGACGGAAAAAAAACGTCTGGAAGGCGGCGCGTGGTGGCGCGTGCAGCGGCTGACGGCGATGGGTCCAGCGGCGGTCGACTCGTCGGATCCTTCTGAGTCGAATGGTCACCTCACTTTTTTGATCGGAGGTCAGTAAACTAGGTTTCTGTGTTGGACAGATTCAAGGCGGTGTTTAGGAGGTGTTTGACGGTGATGGAAGTGTTTGGATGGTTATTTCAGATTTGAATTAGGGTAGGAACGAACCCGCTCTGATACCATATTGAAAAGAAGTTTTTGTATATTGATATTGAATAAATTACATGAGTGAGTATTTATACAAGAAAGAATCGCTAAGAATGACTAAGCGATGACTAATCAATCCTATCACAATCCTAATCACAATCAATTCTAATCAATCACAATTAATCCTAATCAATCATAATCAATCCTAATCAATCCTAATTAATAGGAAATAAAAACGGAAACATGTTTGAATTCTAATTTTCTACACAAAATGAATAGAAATGCCAATGCCAAAGAGGATTTGTTCAATTGTTAGGATCAAACTGCATTGGCTAAAAAGTATTGGGTTTGATTCATTGGTAGGTCATTGTTGATGTTAAGTAACACTATTAAACTTAATTAAGCTTGTGATATACCTAATATTGGAATGGGGTAAGCCTCCCCTCCCTAAATATTGTCATAAAAAAAGAACAGAAATGCCAATTTTCCAATAAGCCAATGCCAAAAGAAGAATTTTAAGGCCCCATTTATTTTAGAAGAATTACTAACAACGAAATCCTAATAAATCCCTTAAGATTTTTCTATGATAATCATTAATATATCTAGAAAATATCTTATAATATCATTATTGTATCTTAGATATTAGAGATGGTTTTTATATTTCATAATTTGTTTCCTTATAGGATTATGGGGCTATCTTAGGAGAAGAACCCCAATTAGGAAAGTCTAAGTTAAAGCAGCCAGAATCAGTTAAAGTAGATAGAATATTGATAGCAGTTGGACCTTTAACTGAATAGTCAGGGGCAGTGTAATATCCCGGTGGCTGACGAGGGCGGGGAGTGATCGCCGGTGAAAAGAGGCACAAACAAGGAGCAGTTCCTGGCAGGCTTCCAGCCAAGGGATACATAAATGAATCGAGTCAACACTCAAACGAGAGGGATTCCAGAGACTATCTAGATAGGGGGACTGTACAGTTGGAGATAGCTTATAAGAATTAATTAGTACTACCTATACTAACAAGATGCATCTACTTTTTGGTAGCCCCGAATATAAGAACTCCATAGTTAAGCGTGCTTAACTTCGAGCAATTCTAGGATAGGTGATCTCATGGAAAGTTTTTCCAGGAAGTGTGTGCGTGAGAACAAAGCACGCTGAAAAGTTTCGTATTAGTTTGTGGGGACAATCATAGATCCTTGAAGTGGCCGGACATTACAGGCAGGTTGCAAGGAGACAGAGAGGATACATTAGTGTTAGTTTTAGGAAACAGTTAGTTTTAGAGGGAGAGAATAACACATTGTACATCATTCTTTCTCTTCTTGAATTTGGATTCTTCATTGATCCGGATTAGAGAAGATACTCCTAATAAAATTCTGTTTTGTTTCCTCCCTTTTCTTTCTCAATTTCTTAACCAGTTATATTAACTGGTATCAGAGCTCCTTGATCCAGGGAGTTGTTCATGGGACATATGTGAAAGGAGGAAAGAATAGAATTCTTGGAGAGAAGCTTCGAATCTTGGATGAAGCAGATGGTGGAGGACTGGCAACAAGGAGAGATAGGGAGCTCTAAGAAGCTTGACTCGAGTGCTGGAAGGACTAATTTGAGCAGACCCAAAAGAGAGGAACCTGAAGAGTTTATCCAGATGAAGCAACGCTACTGGAATTGGATACGAGGAAGGATATGGGTCGGGTAATGGGCAGAGACCAAGGTCAATATTGGACTCTGAAGACAGATGGTGGAGGAAGTAGGATATTCTTCTGTTCTCTATAGAAGATGCCCATCGATGGGTCAACTGGGTGAAGCTTTACTTTGAGTATAAAGGGTTTCAGAGTAGGAAAGATTACAAGCTGCCATGGTAGCCATGTAGGACCGAGCCCTACATGGCATCAGTGGTGGCCCATGTAGGTATTAATAAATCTATGCATTATATTTTACTTATATGACAATCACTTAGTCCATTTACACTCTTTCACACTTAATTCCCACAACTCCGATGTCCTTTAAGGTGCATTCTAGAAGCAATGTAAATTCAAATCAAAGGAAAAAGAACAAGAGAAAACAACATAACATGAAATTGCAACTTTTTCTATGAAGAAGCAAATTCTAAAACTCATAATAGTCATAAATGGCACTTTAACCGGATTTTCCATGACCAACTTTCTCAAAAGCACAATAGCACTTCACCCAAGCTGAGCTCATAAAGAGGATCACAAGAAGGAATAGAAAAAAAAAGAAAATCAGATATTTATCAAAAATAAAATGTCTATATCTGTTGATTCATTATGAGTTCACTCCTTATGCTCTCCCACTTTTGTTCTCACCTATATGAAGTCAAAAAGGTGCTTCAAAAAGTGGAGGGAAAATAAGAAAGAAAATAAATTCAAAACAGGGGGGAGAGAGAGAGAATACGACAAAAACCAAAAACAGGAGATGAAGAAACCTTAATGTTAGGAAAAAATAAAGACCAAAGAGTGAGATACACTTGCTCAATGTAATATGCATGGAGATATAAGACTATACTCTTATCCTTGCACAAAACATTGTTAAGCTAAAGACAAGTTATACTACACAGATTTCATGTTCTATTTGTTTGGAGTATGAAATCTGAATCTTTGGTCTAATTTTCGCCTCAATTTCATATTGTTTACATGGGTGAAACAGTTAAATGATAGCCACTTCACTAAATAAAATAGAACAAGTGGAAACTACTTGTTCCCCAAATTTCTATTAGTTCTATGAAAGATGCTCATTCAGGAAGAGATGTCAAAAAGTATACCTGTCATAAAGGCCGGCACCAGCATAACCTTCTAGATCTTCACCGTTGGAATCAGATCTAAAAATAATTGACCGTCTTATATATAGGCCGACAGGTTTGCTAGGATAACCCAAGACCTAAAGAAGTGCAAAACCATTAGCAACATAATGGAAAATTCATAGAATAGATGCAGTATGGTCAAAGGTAATTTCATATGTGCACAATGATGTTCTTATATTTAACAGAATCATAAAAAAAATAATAACTAAGACACAAAGCATACTCAATAATATGGGGAAAAAAAATAATATAACAAAATTACCTGAGGGGAGTTCAAATCATGTTTTTTGCAGATAAAACTCATAGCACGACCAGGATAAGCTCCAACCAGTGTTTCACCAAGTCCCTTTACCACCTACGTCACAAGAGTATCAAACTCAAATGTCATTGCTTCTTTCAATTCTCTATTCATATGTTGCATAAGTTTTGTAACTTCCCAAATCAGTTACATTTGTAATCATTGTAATTTATTTTGTTACTAGGATAGGTCATTAGTTACTGTAGATTGAGCCTTATTCTAGGAAAGTAATTTAGTTTAGCCTGTATGATGTAATGTACTGTACAGTTTCTTATGCATTCAGAAATAATATTCAGCTTTCACATTCAAGTATATGCTTCTTCAAATGTGTGGAAGCATAGGCAAAAACATGACATCATTAATTATACCTCAGCATATATTTCCGATGAGTCTCCTGAGGACGGATTCGTTGTGTGGATGACAAAAGCATAGTCAGCGTTTATCACTTCCTGAACAAGGACAGCCATGGAAAGATAATCGTGGTCGAGTTTCACTTTTCTTGTGCTAAAGTATGCTCTTTCATTCCACTTTGAGCCCCACACCTTTTTGTTAATCAAACAAATCAATGACATCGATACATGAGCACTAAAATAAGATTGTACAAGAGTACGGCAACCATTTTTTTAACTAAAATTTGAAGATAAAAATAAACTACACATGAAAAATGCTATTTTGCAAGACATATTTGTTTAACGGCACATTGCTAACATGTCTATTGCAACAAGTGAGGAAAATTCAAAAAAATTAACAAGGAAGAAGGAAAATCAGTGGAGAGTAGATTGCGCATAAAATTGCATGCCAAAAGAAATTCATTCTTAGAAACTTAATTTAAATTAAACTTCTAGGAATTAACCCATTCCACGTGTTAAAGTAAGAATGAAATGGGTCAACCCACTAGGGGAGTGCAAAAGAAGGGAGACAATTGATGGGCCTAAAAGTGAGTTAGTTATTCTAGAATATTTGCAAATAGGATAAAAGGTAACTAGTGTTGGGAGGGTGGGAAAGATGTATTCAATATTGGTTAGTGGGGAAAATTGGGGATCTCTGGGAGTTGAGGTTCTGGGATTTATTTTCAACATTTTATCTTTGTATTAGTATATGTAAAAAAAGGGCTATGCCTCCATTGTTAATGAATTCAGTATTGTATTTTTCTGGGTTCCATCAATTTGGTAACAGAGCACTTCCGATCTAGGGGTGTTTTTGATTCAGATCTGGAAGAAAAAAAAAATGATTCCACAATTTTATGGAGACGAAAATGGAATTAAAGCTTGAGGATGGTTGCTCGAGCTTGAACAACATTTTCAAGCACATCAAATTCAAGAAGTTGATATGCTGAATGAAGCTGTGAAGGGGCTGAGAGGTCGTGCGCTCAACTGGTACAAATTTTGGAGTGGACTCAGTCTCCATGTAAGCTGGTGGAGCTTTGATAGAGCATTTATAGGGAGATATATACCTGAGATCTATTTGGTAGAGAAGGAAGTGATATCGAACAACCTAGGAAAAAGAGAGGAAAAAAGAAAAAAGAAAAAGAGATCGAAGTACAGACAGAAGAAGCAGATCGAAGCACAGAAGAAGATGATATCGTAGAAGGAAAAAAATATAATAAAAGTGCAGAGAAAGAAGATGCAGCAGCGAAAGAAAAAGAAGAAGAAGACGAGGTACAAGAGCAACGACAACAAAAACCAAAAGAAGATGAAGAAGAACAAGATCCTGTAGTAGAAAAGCAAATCAATGAAGAAAAAGACAAGGAAACAGTGCCATACGAAGAAGTAGTAGAGGTTGAAGATGAAGAACACCAAGAAGAGGTTAAGGAAGAGCATAAGCAAGAGGATCGTGGACCACAAAAATTGAATGTCTGCAAGGAGAAAGGGTTGAGGAGGGCTGAAGCACCTGATTTTTTCGGTGTAGATCTGGATGGCAGGATTTCCAGGATGGGGCGATACTGTAGTCTCAATCGAATCCCAATTCATGCGTTAGGGGAAGCATCCTCTGTGTGTCCCGAAAACAAAGTTCTCAATTGGGCCTCCACTAACTTTAAATTACGGCCCAATATTACTGGTAATGGTGGTGGAAATATGATGGGCTCTACAAGTGAAGGACGCACTGGCCCCAATACCATAGGTCCAAGGGAGGCAAATAGGATCGAGGGGCAAGGTTCGATATCAGCTCTAGTGACCGACGGCGGCAGTGAGGACAGACATGGTGGGATATACCGACAGCTGACGGCAGAGGAAATGGCTGACCGCCGACGATGCACCCGATGCACCCTCTGTTTTGTAAAAGCGAAGGCTGCTGCGAAAATGGAGGCCCAAGAGCCGGCGACGCCACCGCCACCGGAGAAGGTGGCCTTTCCCCCACCATTACCTGACCCACCGAACTTGAAAGGTACATTGGGTGCTGTCAGAAATGTCGCTTTGGCAGACACATTGATACAAATTGCTTTTCGAGCACTTCCTTTCAGAAAATGGAGAGAAAGGGAAGTTATGGCTGCTGCTGGTCTAGATGGATATGGTTGCTCCAGGTTAGAGAACTTGGGCCCGTTTGCTGATTTAATAGGTCAGGCCTAGTTAGGTGTTAATGTTGAACTGTGTTGGTTTACTCACAATATTGAGAAAATGTGTTTATTGTATATGTGGTCTATTTTCCCTTTGGTGTTGCACCTACTGATGTTCCCATCTACAAAAGGTGCCATTGGGCATTCACCCTATTTCTTGTTCATCATTTTTTTTGAGGTAGATGGAATAGCAGATCAAACTCCAAATTTGCCACGTCTGTTGCCTTCAAAGGAAGCTTTTACTGTCGCAATTTCTTTTTTAGCATACAAAATAAAGATGACTTGGCTGTTTATGATGGCAAAGGAATAATTAGTGCTGCTCAAGTTTGGTGGAAATTTCGAGTGTTTGGCCATGATAGAATTTGGGTATTTGATGGTGACTTGCCAAGATGGTGTACATCTGGTTATGATGTTGAATCTAGTGCTTCGGGTGATGCTATTCTGAAAGTCAAGGCAGGGAGTGAGGCAAAAGAGAAAGTATCTCAAGGACAAGCAGTTGGCCCAATCATATTTCAGACTAAATTTCAGCCACATCTTGTTCCGACCATGCATGCAAGTGAAACTAATTTGAGGGGAATGAATGGGGAATATACTGCAGGTGAGGTTCATGAAATGAAAACGTTGCAATTGCTAATTGGGTCCATATGCTTCAAACAGTGGGATCCTGATGGATGTTTTCTCACATCACATACTCTTTTCCTCACCTTGAGGACAAGGTGAATTTTGGAGGGGGAGTATTGATGGGCCTAAAAGTGAGTGGGCCAGTTAGTTAGTTATTCTAGAATATTCTGCAAATAGGATAAAAGGTAGCTAGTGTGAGGAGGGTGGGTAGGATGTATTCAATATTGGTTAGTGGGGAAAATTGGGGATCTCTGGGAGTTGAGGTTCTGGGATTTATTTTCAGCATTTTATCTTTGTATTAGTGTACGTAAAAAAAAGGTTATGCCTCCATTGTTAATGAATTCAGTATTGTATTTTGCTGGGTTCCATCCAACTAACAATGAGCTAAAGTAAGAAACCCAAACCACAATACGTGGACTCAATTCCACATCTTAACCCAAAAAATTAAGACATTTGATTTATGAGTCCTCCATTTATATTGTCCTTACTTAGTCCATTCCTAACCAATGTGAGACTTAATTACTCAATAATCACACTTGAATTTCCAACAATCTCCCTCTCAAGTGTGAGACTCAATATTAGTATTCTCCCCTTCGACGAGTATTAATGAGGTAACCAAACTAAGAATGCACATGTCTTGGTTCCACAACATGGGTTTGGCCTCCATACACAAACCGCCATCTCTAAATACTCAACTCAACCAAACTAGTCTCGAATACCATTTGTTATGATAGATAGGGGGAGCGCATAACAAGGGAGACCTCTAGTGGGAAACCCAAATCACAACAAGTGGACATGACACCACATCTCAACCCAAAACCTTCAGGCATTAAAGTCTTTTCACTTATATGCACCCTACTTAGTCCATTCCTAACCAATGTGGGACTTTATTACTCATCTCTCACACTTGTATTTCTAACACCATGTATCATATTAAGGGTTGCTACATTCTTGATTGTTATGGAACAACCAATAAATTCATAATTGCAAAAAAAGGTATCCATGAAAAAAATATATAAAAGGGTGATTCAGGGCAATAATATCAGGGAATATGTGACCTCTGGAACACACATTATTCGTACAAAGAGTATTTAACATGAAGAAAATGGAAAAAAAAATAGCATGTAAAGATTGGCCTCTAATAGCACCTCATAAAAATTTTCCAAATTTATGTTGACCCTGTTAAAAATGTATAGGCAGTGGAGCATGATCCAAATATACAAGAAAAGAAAACTCTTTCTTTTTGGAGCAAGATATAAGCTTTAATGAAATAGGCATCAAATCTAGCTTATCAATATACTTTAAATAGAGAGGTCTTACCTTTTTTATAGCCTTCCATGCTTGTTCCCAGCGTTGTTCACCTTCATCACCCGGCCAAGGCATTCCAGAACTCTTCATCTTAGTTTTCAACTCCTCTACCTGAAAATAATTAATTCATTGACTTCATCTGTAAGACTCTACATCACTTTGCATGGAGTTTTTTAAAAACTTTATCAAAATAGCAGAAAAACATTGGACTAGATATTAACTTTTGGTCCATTAGAAGGAAAAAAATACGCAAAAGTACCTAGTCATGCAAGAAACAAAACTAAAGGGCAGCTTCTTCTCTAAAAAATTAAAAAATAAAGAAGACATATTTGAAAGGGAAGGAAAGGGGTTTTTGGGGTGTCAAAACTAGCAATAGAAATGTAGAAAACATATTTAAAATGTGACACATATTAATTAGAATGATTGTTGGAATCCCAATTAAAGTTGAGTGATTAGAGAGTGATGTCAAAATCAAGATGTTGAGATATATAATCCCACATTAGTTGTATGTGCAACTAATGTGGAGTTTATAAGGCCTTAGGCATTCCCACCCTTTGAGCTAGCTTTTGGGGTGGTGTATCCCAAGGTTCTTTACATGGTATCAGAGCCTCGCCGTCCCCCACTTCCTCTTGCGGAGTTTCTTAGCACAGGTAGGCTAGGCCTGTTGCATTGTCCACGCTTCAAGCCCAAAGGGCTCTCGTGTGAAGGGGCGTGTTGAGATATATAGTCCCACATTGGTTGTATGTGCAACTAATGTGGAGTTTATAAGGCCTTGGGCACTCCCACCCTTTGAGCTAGCTTTTGGGGTGGTGTATCCCAAGGTTCTTTACACAAAAACATGTTTAAAATGTGAGACACGTTTTAATTAGAATGATTGTGATAGGATACACCAACCTTCACCATGCTAAGTGTGCATAATAAACGAAGGGATTCTATTTTGGGTGGATTCAATATTAATTATGTGTATCAATCATGGTGATTATGTATTTGTGGGGTTAATTTATGGGTGATTAATTATGTAGTTATGGGTAATTGATTTTGCAGTTATGGGTTGATTTATGAGTGATTGACAATGTAATTACCGGAGATTGATTCCATAATTAAGGGTGATTGATCCTATATTTTTATGGGAAATATGTGATAAATAGGGGAGAAATGAGAGGTGATGGGAGACTATTGAGTGGTTAGAAATTGGAAATTGGAAGAGACCAAGTGGCTCTCGAAAGCCCCGGAACATTGTTTTTTTATCAATAATTAAATATTATATTTTGGTTCTATTTTTATAATTTCCTTTCCTGTTGAATCATATCAAATTGATGGAAAGTAGAGTGATTAGAGAGGGATTCTTTATACCCTATTTAAGCTGTTTCCTTTTGGTAGTTTTTTCAGGCTGATTAGCAACATTGTTTTTCGGAGATTTCTTTCCTTTATTATTCTTAATAGTGTAGAATAAATAGAGACCAAGAGCTTGTTTAGTTTAATATACAAGAAATACAGAAAAAATTCTGATTATGGGAAAACCTTGAATATCTAAATTATATTCAACAACCGATCTTTATCCCATTAGTTGGGATTGGCTACATAAATCAAATGATGTCACTGAGCTCTATTAAAAACCAAAGTTTCAATAAATCCATTTAGAGTAATGCCTTTTTTAATTTCATATGCAATTATAAGAATCAAAAGAAAGAAATATGCTTGTCATATCATGTCAATGATAAGTCTATCACTAAAAAGAACATACCAACTGGGATGGTGCATTCAACTGTAAAACTGTTTCACGAATCTCCTTGAGAGCACTGAAGTCTCCCTCGGTTAATTTCTTTTTCAAAATATTGACCTTGTCAGCCACTGCCTGTTGGTTAATATTTAGTCCAAGATTTCATTAAACCACAGAAAAGACTTGCATAAACTAAACAAAAAAATAGGTAACGTAATAGATGTCACACATAGATTTACACAATCTTTAAGATTGAATCCTAATGACTATGTTATGCATAGCAATCTAGGAAGGGAGAAGCCTACTGTCAGGAATGTATATTCCCCTAGGAATATGCTCAAAATAGTATTCTTAGATGGCAGGTTAGTTAGTAGGTAGTTAGTTTGTTGGGAGTCTAGCGGGAAACAGGTCTAAGTGTATATAAGGAGTCTATCTCCATTAGGGAGGCATCTTGGGTGTATTGTAGATTGACTGAGAAATCCCCGAGTGAAGGGGAGTGCCCCTTGAGAAGAGCTTACTCTTGTAATTTGTCCTTGTATTCTTTCTTGTTAATCAAATAACCATTGTTCTTTCTTTCATTTCCTACTTGTTCATTTTGGCATCTTGCCTAGTAAATTCTTCAATCCCGAACCCAGAACCGTAATAGACTACTTAGCTTTAATATTAGAGTTCGCCTCTGCCGTAACCTCATCTTATACTCCCTGACTATTACGACACTTGAAATACATTAAGAAAAAGTTCACTTATCACGAAAGTTGTTATGAGAATTGGATTTAGCACCTTAAAGTTCAAATTCAAACTTATACTCCAATGAAAAGTTACTAATCTCTTTGTATTCAAATTAACACCTTCCCTAAATCAAATACAATCGGTTAGCAATTTAATAGCAAGAATCAGAAGACAATTTGTGCGAGCATCATTAAATCACTACTCCCATCAAACAAAAACAAGAAATCTAACTAATTGACATACATGGGAAATCCAAACAAAAGATAACTGCAGAATATGAGCTTCACAAATAATTATTCAACATGATAACATATAGAAATTAAGAGGTGCGTAGAACCTGATTTGATTTATAAGAAAGAACATGTTCAAAAACTCCAAATGGTATGGCAACCGAGGTAGGAATCCCAACCCAAGAAGGCACTTTTCCTTTTAAATAAGAGATATTACGAGATTTAGCTCCAACCTGGGAAAACACAACCTTACACAAGTTATGCTGAAGAACACTGTGTCACGAAAGTGTACTTAACACATTTCTGGTGTTCGGCCAAACACTGGCTAGAAAGACAGACACAAGTAAAATCAACTATAGCAGCTTAAAATCAATGCGGCATTTTGAAAATCTGACCATTTCACCAGTGAATTCTTCAGATGAGACAGCATATCTACCACTAAACTGCTTTCTGACCAAAGATAAGGGTGACATAGAACCAACATCTTCTAGGTGACTTGATTTGTTATCAATAAGCTCACCCTCCTTGACCTCACTGTAAGAAATCCCAAAAAATAAAGAAAAATAGATTAAGAAAGAAAATAAAACTTAACAATTTAGGTTGTATAGCAGCAGGAGGTGAAGTGAATGTTTTATCAAAAAGGCATTTTATCTTCACATAATGGGATATGGGCACATTAAGTACAAAGCTATAAAACATCTTTAAGACTTGAAGCTAAAGCAGATACGCTACCTATAAACTACATCTGCAGATGTAGGCTTCAAACGCAAGAGCTTTCCTTTATTTGCTTGAAGGTTAGCCAGGATATTGGGATCGAAGCATGTAGCAAAACATACCTGGAAAACTTGAAACTTTAGTATTCAACATTCAATGCATATGAAAATCTTGTTAGCAACAAATATCTTGATCTTTATCATGCTCACAAAATTTACATTATTTGCGTTATGCTCTATTGATATATCATCAGACATACAAATTTTCTTTGAGCATAATAAAATATCACCTATTTTGTTACATATTGTTATCCAATTTTTCTAAAGTTGGCATACAAGATCAATATGATAATTATTTTATAATTTATTGGTTGGATTGATGAAAATCACATTCTATAACAGGTTAGCGAATGGTGCAAGCGTGTCAAGTATTACAACATTGTTAATTGGTTAAGTTTAAATTTGAACATCATATCAATTCACGGAGTATCGCTGGTTGGATATTGAATTTAACGATAATCAAGTTCCTAATCAGCAGAAAATGAAGCTAAATTTTTTTTAACATAACTACAAAAAAATTCTTTTAAGATATAGGTGACGAAGTGTGTTAATTTACAGTTTGAGCTTACACTAAAGTATACATAGACTGATCAAGCGCAAAATAATCATGAAACACACAGGAACACCATTCAATGATAAGGGCAACAATAATTTTCGTTTATCATGAGTAAGGATATCATCGCTGACATAATAACCTCTATACGAAATGCTGACATGAATAAAAAAGGAACGGTTCAAATAGCATTTACTAACATTACCGAAAACACTGTGAAAATACTTTTAGGGGAGGGTTTTGTTGAAAACGTCAGAAAACATAGGGAGAGCAACAAATATTTTTTAGTTTTAACTCTATGATATAGAAGCCTTAAGTATAAGCAAAAAATCCTGGCTATCCAAAGCCTGATACCTTACTATTTCTTGCTCGAACAGAAACATGAGATAGGACATCTGGCATATCAGGTGTCAGGACAGCAACTGTACCATCTGGGATTTCTTCCTCTCCTTTCACACTCTTGACTACCAAAATTGTGGGTCGGTCATATGTTTTGTTTTGAACAGAAAGCAGCTCATCCACAACCTCAACATATCCCACGGTTTCAACTGGGCTAATAACCTGCCAGCTGTTCCAGGCCATTAGAATTGCATTAGAAAGTTATTACTGTCAAAACAACTGAATAAAGCTTAGACAGTCTAACATGCTAACTAAGTTATATTGAGAGTGGAACAAGCATGATCAATTCTACCTGCCAAGATTAGCTGTCTTCCGGAGTACAGGATCCAGTCGATTTAGAAGAGTAGACAAAGAAGCAGCAGATCCAGCACGGATAATTTCTTCGGTAAATATTTCCACCTGCAAGAGAAGATTTTCAGTAGAGCAAAAAAAAGGGAAAATAGAAAACAAAATAATATAAAGAGACATACAGCCCATCTGTCCACGCCAAGTAGTGACCCTAGGTATTCTGCCGATGGTTGCAGAATTTGCTGGTATGACTCCGCCTTGTTTGTGAGTGCAAGGCGTGTTCTGTCAAGGACTGATTTTGCATACAATGCCCAATGAGTGTCTTTACTCTTGCACATGCTTAAGGCAAGATCCCATCCCTTCACACAAACAAAAAAGAAATATTAAAGTATGGTGGATATTTTCCGTTGTCAAGACCAACTTGAAATGACTAAACATTATTATTTCACAAGTTGTCATGTACAAAGGGTTATAGTACATATAGAGACCAATGGGCCAAATGGCAATAAGCTTAAATCCTATAATAAGGAAACACTAATTTAACTATCAAAGGAAATACAATAATCATATTAAGGAATAGATATTTATCATTCTTAACTTGTTAGGTAATTCTTGAAATCTATCGGAGGGAAGCCCCTTAGTCAAGACATCAGTTAATTGACCAGAAGAAATATATGGAATAGTGATCACTCTATTATCTAATTTCTATTAAGACTTACATTTGACATGGGACTTGTAGAAATATTCCCAATGGAATAGACAAGGCCGGGGTAGTTAGTAATTGTTGTATATGGCTAGGTAGATAGGTTAGTTAGGTAGTTAGTTCAGGCTTATGTGAGAAGTCTAGAAAGTTGTCTAAAAGGGAGACACCCTCGATCAAGAGATATCTTTGGGGGAAAATGTTTGAATTAGGATAAGAGTGCTCAATTGAAAGGGAGAGCCCGTTCAAAAGAGATTTCATCTCTTGTATGTTTGTTTGCTTTCCATCAATAAAGTTCATTCCTTTCAACCCTTTTCTCTATTGTCTCTACTCCATTACTGCACATTCATACTTCTAGGCTTCCAAAGTCATAACATTTTCTCTTTGATGAAGTCACGGTCGATCTCAATATATTTTGTCCGGTCATGTTAGACAGAATTGTGTGTGATATAGATGGTTGACTTATTATCACAAAGTAGTATTATACGTCCCTCACATCTCACTTTGAGATCATCTAGAATAACTTTTAGCCATAACAATTCACAAAACCTTGGGTCATAGCTTGAAATTGTGCCTCTGTATTGGACATAGCAACCACGATTTGCTTCTTACTTCTCCATGCTACAAGGTTTGAATATGGAAACATGCAATAGCCCGAGAATGACTGTCGAACCACCACAAATTCGGCACAGTCATTATTTGTATACACCTTTAAGGATGGGTTTCCCCCTTTCCGGAATAATAATACGTTGCCTAGAGTAGTCTTAAGGTGCTGGAGAATCCTATCCAGTATTTTTTCCTTGGGTTGTGCATTAACTGACCGACAATACTAATCGCATAAGCTAAATTAGGTCTAATATGATCGACATATATCAATCTTTCCATCAACCGTTGATATTATCCTTTGTCAACTGGATGGCTTTCCTCTTCACTTCTCAATCTATGATTTTGCTCAATTGGAATACTAGTAGATTTACACCAAAGTTTTCCAACTTCCTTAAGGAGCTCAAGGACATACTTCCTTTGACAAATAAAAATACCTTGCTTTGAATAGCCTACCTCTCAACATCAACATCAACAAAATCTTTAACCCAAATTGATTGGGGTCGGTGGAAGATGAACCCAAATAAAAAGCATGAAAAAAAAAAAGATAAAAATAAAATTTTTAAATAATATATATATATAACATTATCCATAAAAAAATAGCAGTAAATAATTAAAAGAAAAAATAAATTAAAATAAAAGGAAAGTAAAGATATATAAGAGAACAAAAAAGAATAAGAAAGTAAAAATAAAAAAAGAAATAGAGGGAAAAAAAGAAAGAGAGAGAGAGAGAGTAAAATAAAGAAAAAGAAAAAGAAATAAATAAGAGAAAAAAAGATTGAAAGGAAAAAGGAAATAGAAGAAAAGAGGGAAAGAAATTTGTTAGAGATATATAAAACCATTAATGTAGCCTCACCCAACAACTTAAGCTTTTGGGTTGAATGGGTTCTTTATATGGTATCAAAGCTACGGTGTCACGGGTTCAATTCTCACCGACCCCCACTTTCTTTTGTGAAATTTCTTAGTACAGGTAGGTGGTTCTGTACATTATCCACTCTTCATGATCAGCGGGCTCTTGTGTGAGGAGACATGTTAGAGAAGTATATAAACCATTTATAGGCCTTTACTTAATAGCTTAAGCTTTTAAGTTGAATTGTTTCTTTACAAAATTTATACCAAAAAAATAAAAGAAGAAGAGAGAGATATTTTTAAATTTATGTATACTAAAAATCCGGTTGCTACTTTGCCACCACCAATTAAATTTAGCTTGCATCTAAAACAAACAATTTTATTAAAGCAGTGGTCAATTCAACTATTTGCTGCTAGTTGAAATGTTTTCCGATGATATATAGACTTTATATGCCTGAGTCTTCATCTTGAAATGATGACAGGACTGATGGGTATGAAATAAAGATGGATATATCACTGTACCTTCCAACAATAGATAAGATCTTCATTGTCATCTGATGAAAGTGCAAGATTTTCAAGCACCATGCTGATGAAGTACATTATTTTCTGCATGATCCATACATCAGCATATCAGATTTTATAACTACGTATATTTTAAGTTCTATTAAAAAGACTGAACCAAAATATATATATATATATATATATATATATATATATCAATGTAAATAAATTCAGTGAGCATAATTTAAGAGAAATTAGGCCCTAAAAACAGGAATCACCTCAGGTCCAGAATTGTTTAATTCTTCGTATCCCCTTTCAACTGCTGTTCTAACCGTAGAATCAAGGGCAACATCCAAAAATAAAAGATCTTTCAGACGACTTTGGGACTTAATGAGAGATGGTCGGAGGTCCTGACGAGCCTCTAGCAAACCCTATAGCAAAAACATGAAAAGGAAATATACATATCAATCAGTATTGGAAAGTCTAGGTATATATGTATAATCAGAGTATGGACAATATATTCCATATCTTAATTTTATTCAAACGACCAGTGTACAATATATAACCAAACCGAAAGCTAAAAATATATATATATATATATATATATTGGACAATCCCTAGAATAATCTGGGAGATCCCTCGAGACTAGGAATAGAAACAAAACAGGAAAAAATTGATCACAATCATAATTTTCATATGTTGTATATCTCGTAATATTCAAGATTGCTTTCCAACACTCTCCCTTCAAGCTGGGTATTTCCAGCTTGCCAACATTAGAGTTAAAGAATCAAAGTCTGATCTCAACAAGGCCTTTGTAAGAATGTTTGCTTCCTGCATTTTAGTTGGGATATAGTGTAATGTGAATATCCTATTTTCAATTTCTGACTTGATAAAGTTTCTGATCCCATCATGTTGAACTGGGTTAAGAACTGGACAGATGGTGGATTTGCTGTCATTTACTGTCATTTAATAGCTTTATAGGTTCTTGTAGCGGAATAAATAAATCTCGTAGTAACCTGTTTATAAAGATCAATTCACAAACCCCGAGCAATTTATTTCTTGCAACAAACATGTACTTCTTGCTCCTCCAAGTCATCACATTCCCTACACTTTTATACAATACCAGGTAGTGGACTTTATAGTTTCCACTAATCCCGCCCAATAAATATCTGCAAAACACACCTCTGTTTATTTTTTGTGAACACTAAATCCCTCTCCAAAAGTGCTTTTGAGATAGCGAAGAATTAGGTTTACAACATCAAGATGTCTTTTCTTTTGAGAGTTCATGAATTGACTTACTATACTAACATTGCAGACAATGTTCGGTCTGGTAAGAGATAACTAAATTAGCTTTTCTACAAACAGATATTTGTCTCTTTCAACAGGAGTGTCATAATTGATAAACTTGTACTTGGATTTCCCGCTGGTCTGCATCCTAGTTTCCTTAACTTTTTTAGAAAATCAAGAGTGTACTTTGTTTAGGAGATGAAGTGCCTTTCTTGCTTTTAGCAATTTCCATTCCAAGAAAGTATTGTAGCCGCCCAAGGTCTTAGACCTTGAATTTTATCAGTAAATAATTTTTTCAAGTCGTAAATTTCTTGAGTGCCATCACCAGTGATCACCATGTCATCCATATACACTTTAAGAATAACTTTTCTACCATCCCTAGATTATTTCACAAAAAAGTTGTGGTCGGCCTAACTTTATGTATAGCTGTTGTTTCATATGGTGTTAAACTTGTGAACCAAGCTCTTGGGGATTGCTTTAATACATACAAGGACTTGTTCAACTTAAATACTGTATCACTATTGTCTCCCGAACCCATGAGGCAGCTTCATGTAAAGGTCCTCTTCCAACTTCCCATTCAAGAAGACATTATTTACATCCATTTGATGTAGTTCCAATTCCTTCCAGATTTGAAGCAATAGAAATAAGAATTCTAATTGCATCGATCTTGGCAACAGGTGCAAAAGTTTCCTTGTAATCTATATCATTAGTTTGGGCATAGCCTTGTGCAACTAGTGTTTCCTTGTATCTATCTTTTTTGGCACCCATCTTTGTCGTAAAGGTCCATTTTCACCCCACAACTTTCTTTCCCTCATGAGGAGTGACAATTTCCCAAGTTTTGTTTTCATTTAACACAACCATTTTCTCTAGAACTACTACTCTCCATTTTTGTCCTCTAGGGCTTCATAGATATTGTTAGGAGTCTGCACATGGTCCAGTTCAGCAAAAAAAACTCTTTACATTGGGGAAAGGTTAGAAAATGATTAATATGGGTCATGGGATGACGCTTGCATGACCTAACTCACTTTCTAGGGGAATGGGCAAGTCAAGATCATCAACTACATTATTAACTGCATCAAGCTCATCAATTGATGGACAGTGGCTCCACTGGGTAGGCACGAACTAGGATTGCCTCTAGTTAGGCTCAAACACAAAGCTAAGGGAAACGAAACAAGAGGCATTCAGTGAAATATGTGTGTTGAGCTTCAATATAAAATCAAAGACGTTGCACCACCTTCCAATCGGCCAACCATCATAGACCTTTCACATGTTTTCTTCTAGTTTGAGGCTTCCAAATGTTGTTCTTAAACTTGGAGAAGAAGTTCTAATTTTTTACTGTGTATAATTGCTTGCCAAGAAATTTTTGGGTCTCTTTCCTTGGTCATGTAATATTCTAACAAGATTTTTAGACCGATGATCATCCAACCATTATGCTGAGTTATCTTCTAGTAATGTTCAATTCTTTGACGTCTTCAACATCCCAGAATTGATTTTTAAGCCATGTTTTATGGAGCCCGCTATTATTATTTAAGTCTTCATATGTAACAAGCTTAAAACTTTCTAAATTTTAGCTTCGGAAGAATTCATAGAATATCTAGAAAATATCTCATAATATCTTTTATGGTAGCTTAAAATATTAGTATCTCATACAATCTTCTACAAAGTGGTTTCCGTATTTCATGATTCGTTTTCTTATTTTATTAAGAATAGGAGTTTAGTATTAGTATAATTTCCTATCACATCAAATCAATATCAATTTTAGGTTATTCATTATCTCATTCTCTCTTTTCTGTCTTCCTTACCTAAATTCTACAACTTCAACACAAACAAAAAATTATTATTGACTATATTAAAGCAGCATAAACCTCAAGGAGCGGTTCAACATTCTTATCTTCAATATGTTCCATGACAAACTGAAGTAATTCCTGCTTGAGACAGATAAAACAAACAACTTTCAGAATTCAGAAGACATAACAGCATCAAAAACTAATTCATAAAAAGTTAGATAACATTACAGGAAAACCAGATGGCAAACCAGACACTGAATTTATCTTCACCCCAACCATGAAGCCCTCACCCTGAGGAACAATAAAGTATAAATTAATAACATGAAGATCACTCAAAATATAAGAACAAGTTGCTCTGGGAAACAAAAGTCTTAATAGTCTTGTTACCTCAGATTTGTAACCCATACAATTAGCAATAGCAGATTCAAGATCTGCACCTGAATGAACTGCCTGCATATGATGTAATCAAACCAAAATCATCACATGGCAAAATATAACCCGCAAGGTGAGCAAAATATGTCAAGGGTACCAGGGTAGGCAACACAGGATTGGACAAAAATTTTCTTAGAAGACCACCAAAAAAAGGAACGGCACATGAAACAAATATTTAAATAATCTGTAGCAGTAATGGGTGCCTATATAATGCAACCTCCCCCTCCCCCCATGCAGCTTATGGTTGGTAACAACAATCTTTATCTGAAACAATTTGAACTTCAATTGGTTGACTTTCTAATGCTACGAGGCATAGATAGTGGCGCATTCCGCCACATTTTTCTCATGATCATATTCCAATGTATACACATCCATATTAGCACAACAATAAAAACCATCACAAAATGAAAAAATATTGAATAGAAGCCAAGAGCATTTACAACTAATGTGAAATAACTAGCTGAAAAAGCAGAAAAAATAATAAGAAAGAAAATTAGATCACAGAATTAAGGCTACATATATGAATCCAACCTTCAAAGTCTTCATGTAGTGTCCCAGATCTCGTAAAAGACCCTCCTTCTGATCACTACTAAATTTTGGTTCAGAATGGATGGCACGGTCATAGCTCAGAAGACGTTCTTTTGTTATTCCGTTGTCATTCAATGTTTTCCAGTAAACACCAATATCAAAGTCACTATTTATATAATCAATTAGTGCCTGGAGAGATTTACCAAAATATCAAAGATGAGGATGATGAGGCAAACCATAAGAATTCCAAAGAGATGAACAACTACATTACCTGACAGATTACAACATCATCAGGACTAGTATTATTGTGTAACTTCTGGTGCCATTCCTCCATTATTCCACCCTTGCAATTATTTTTTCTCTGCAAGTCAAATAGAAATTTTGCATCTAATTTAAGATCAATATATGCGGACAGGAAGGAATATGCAGACACTAAGGAAAAGACAAAAAAAAAAATCATATCTACCTGGATCACAAGGATTTCATCTCGAATCCGCTGTCCCACATCACCTTCACCTCCACGACCAACAGTAGACATGATCATCCTCACAAGTTCCCTATACTGTGGATAACTCATATAAACATTCTCGAGCAAGTCTGTAAGCCTATCCTGTGCTTTACTTATCTCACTGCTCCAATCAGTTACCAATACTCGTCATCAGAACATTATCAAGCACAGACAGAAAGACATATTCATAAAATATATAGCAAATGAATTAGCTTGATCACAAAAGAGAGACAACAAACTAGCCAAATTTAAAGCAGAAATTTAGATATTGTGATTCATAATCTATATTTTCCAGAAGGGTCAAAAATCTTTTTTGTCCAGAAGTGCATAAACCAAGTGATAATAAACATTTTATACGAAGCCTACCGTGGCTTCACATTGTAATTTTTGTTCCATATGAGCTGCCTTGTAGCCATGAATCTCATCCACACCAAAATCCCAGCAAGACCCAATTGACCAGCATTTTTGGCTTGATCTAACAAATCCGATGCAATGTTAAATCTGAGAAAAAAGTGTATGAGTGACCAACCCAGATCCAACTGAACAAAGTAAGATCCCCAATAAATGTTTTTGTGAGCTCATTAAATCATGAATGAAGCTATGTAATATGTTGGTGAAGTTAAATTTTCAACTACCACATCCTGGATTGATTGTAAACAAAATAACAACACACCAAGGAATCCTCAAACATGTGGCATTTTGTTCAGCCAAATGCGTCATGGTTGTTTTTACAGTTCAAAAGGGAAATTAAAAACAAATGTAATTGCCTATTACTTTAATGAGCAATCATGCTAAAAAAACCACCAACAGAGAGCTAGCACTTGATAGGGAACTTACAGTATGATCAGTCTACAAATGAAATTCCCACACACACGGACACTCTTTTTTAATGAGCAATCATGCTAAAAAACCATCAACAGAGAGCAAGCACTTGATAGGGAACTTACAGTATGATCAGACAACAAATGAAATTCCCACACAAACACAAGGGGGGATGAAAATCAAGCTACACACACAGATAGAGAGAGAGAGAGAGAGAGAGAAGGGGGGGGGGGGAATGAAAATCAAGCTCTGTTCAAATTTAATAAAATAACTTAGGTAACTTCCTTTGTTTAGAAAATGCCTGATTATTTCTTTTTATGCATTTCATTCATATCTTCAGGAGGAGAATTATTTATATCTTTGTTCATAAGTTAGAAGCAGGAAGAAAATAGTTAAAGGTAGTAGGTAAAGCTGGCAATTATAGTGAACTGGCTGTACATAGCAGATCCAAAAGACCGTATTGGTGAACCCACAGCAAGCAGTCAGTGAATAGAAGGTGTCCTTTATAGAACAGAAAATCAAATTTAACCAAGCAGTAGGTTAAATATTTCTTTGAGGATATCAATAAAATTAATCATCAGGATAATTTATCATCTCGTAAATATCAATTTCTCCCATGTATTTATGGCCCCAGGAAAAATTGCAGTTTTGGACTATACTGCCACCACTACTCTCATATAACAAAATGGTAAAGTTCCTTCCGTTTAACTAATTCATCCCTTTGGTATTGGCTAACTGATCTTTTACATAGCACACCCAAATCAAGAGCTGATAATTCTAATTAGTAGCTGCACTCAGAAATCTATGACTCTAAAAAAGTATAGAAAAGAACCCACATTCAAAAGCAAACGTCATGATAAGATGAACCAATTATACATTCTATTGGCTAGCAAAATATAAAATTTACAAAAGCTATCAACAAATTAGGTGACCTACTCCTCCATGAAAATTTCATTAGATATCAAAAATTTCATATTAGAAATGATATATCAAAAGTTTAGCTTCAGCAACAAATGCAAGAAGTTTTACATGTTTTATACCAAAAGAATCAGATAACTTACTAGTTCTTCAATCGATTTGTACAAGCATCTACCATTTGACACAATTACTTGGAAACCAAAATCAACAAAATCCAATCACAATCAAGTTATTTCACTTAAACCTCATGAACTTCCGCCTTTTGCAGTTTGATATATGTCTCCAATTTCCAACATCGTGATTCTATAATGATTCCCAAGAAGATAGACCTAAGAGTAATTCCTTCATGGATACCAAAAATAAAATAAAAATGATAATTTCTATTACTTTGGTGATAAATATTTTCAACAAGCCAAGAACAATTTGGTACCTGGGCAGAATGATTAAAGACAGCTCAACTAAACGTTTGATATATACATGCACATAACAAAAAGACATAGAATTTGCAATTCGGCATAGGAGGCTGGTGGCCCAGGAAATTCAATTTGCCTACAACTTTCTGTTGGAGACCCTGGGCCAGTCTGTAAGCACATGTTTTGCCACAAAAGTAATAGCAAATCAACTTTTCTTAGGATCCTGTACGAAAACCTTATTACTAGCATTTGATGACAGATAATAATTAAATAAAGCAGTAAAAGCTTTTGAGGGATTACTCACCGATGCATAAAGGACTTTTGTGCCTCACCTTCCATTTCTGCTATTTTATCCAACAAAAACTTGGCTGTACCTTTGCCATCACCAATATCCTTTCAATGGAAAAAAAATCTTGTCTATTAAAATAACAAGGTGATATAGACCAATATAAGTTGATTAAGAGGAATCACTAGTACAATTTCCGGATGTGTAACCTTTTGTATCTTCTTCTTCCCACCAAATTCAATATAAAAATTTGATCCGTTATTCTTTATCCATTTTTCGCCTGACAAAATGACAAAAGGTATTCCTTTAAAAGTATCATCATCGTCAACCTCTATATCTAAGGACTGGACCTGAAAATTTTATTGACCAATTATTAGATTTTTTAACTAAGATCTCAAAAGGACTGAGAGCATAAAAAATACAACTTCAGATTAATTTTGTAGACACCTCATTAGATGGATGAGATGAAGAACCAACTTGAAACGGTGTTTCAGCAGCCTCCTTCACAGGAACAGATCCAGGGGGCAGAGTGCTTGCAGGTGGTACCTAGGATTGCCATTGTGTTTCGTGTAAATAAAATAGCCACATAGATATACTAGAAACAGAGACATCAATTTTAACATCCAAGGTCTTCATGTCAGTTTTAGAGTTAACAAACAGATACACTCACCAACCACTCTCCTTGTGCTGTTCTAGATAAGGCCCAGTGAAGTGTAACAGGCATTTTAGAGTCTGTAGCCAGGTGAACCTTAATCTTACCAGCATCCTTGGTAACGAGGACCTTAAAGACATTAAAGACTATCAAAATTAGGATCATCACCTAAAGAAGACCCGCTAGCAGAAAGATATGGAAAGGGAAGTAAACATCAATTGATGTAATTGTCTCACCAGAAGATCATTATCAGCAAGCTTGTAAATTGCCTTATTCAAAACAAGACCCTGATCTTGTTCTTCCCTTGCTTTGGCATATTGTTCAATAACTGTCAAGGCCTTTGGAGAATCTATAAATTGTTCAACTATATTTTCAGCAACATTTCTGTTGATAAGTTGTGTCAAATCTCTCTTTTTCCTCTGTATTCTTTCAACGCGAAAGTATTTTTTGGTTTTCAATTGCTTGGCAACTTTTGTTTGTATCTCTCCTTTGGTAATCTTCCTGCGTATCTCGTCCAGAGAAACACCCTTCTCAAGCTCAGCTAACAATTCTTTTCTTGCTTCCTCAAATTCCATCTAAGTTAATCAAGCAATGAGGGCAGAAAAGTCTCATTAGATAGAATGAGTATCTTAATTTTGACAATCTAACAAATTAATACTCAACAGAAAAGGGAAAATTAGAAAGGATATTATAATATTACAAGTTGTTGTTCTGGAGAGTAGTTAGGCTTCCCAGCTTTTTCCCAGCGTATAAAAGCTTGAATCTGTACAAGTTCTTCAGGGATGGTTTTTGTTTCAGAAACAGAAGCCTCCTTTACTACAGCCTCCTTTACATCAGCAGCATTTGTTTTGTTAGTTAACCTTGCACGGAGGTCCGGCACAGAAGTACCCCTAGCTACTTCGTCCAATAGTTCACGTCGAGCAGCTTCATATTCCTCCTAACATAATAAAGGGAAATAGCATCGGTTTGAAGGATTCAAATCAAGAATCGTGCAATTTCTATAATATGGGTTTAAATAAACTCTTTTGCTGATAGGAAAGATTTTTAGAACAAACAAAGTGGGAAATAAGATATCTAGTACTAGACCTTTTTTCTTTTCTCAAGGCAATGGACAAGTCATTGGGATCAGTCTCACAATTATGTAAAGGATTATTCAAATTATTAGAGTCGAGAATATGAGGAGCAGTAATTGCAGTACCTACAGTAGGTTCAAATGATTGAAGTTGCTAATAGACCGATTCGAGTTTTTTCCTCTATGATTTACTAGTTGTGGTGGACCATCCTTGGCCTTAGCTGGTACAAGAGACGACTAAGGTGAGTCACCAGAGAAGATACTAGTTCTTGCACATTATTAGAGTCAGACGAAACTCAACTTCAACTGTGGAAGACACATTTGACAACCCAAGGATCAAATTTGCTACGGTGTTGTGGGTAAACATGGACAAAGGGCATACAGCCAAAGGATTGTAGACTCTACATAACAGGAACAAAAGGAAAGGAGGAATTCACAAGGTGAACAAAACTAACATTACCATGTACTTGAGCTGGAAGTCGATTGATCAAGTAAGTAGTTGTTAAGACAACTTCTTCCCAATATGAATTAGTAACAGACATTTCAAGTAAATGTTGATTCTTTCTTTCAGCAACATTATTTTATTGTGGAGTATCCACACATGAATAATTCCATGTATCTTCAAGAAGGAATAGAAAGGATGGCTGACATACTCTCCACCATGATCAGAGTGCACATGTTTAATAGACTTTACAAACTATGTTTGAACCATACAATAAAGAACAAATAATTGATATACTTTCAATTTATCTTTCATTAGGAAAGACAAAATTACTTGAGTACTCCATCAATAAATAATACAAACCTTTTTTAACTAGAGCTATTAGAAATGGAGGTAAGGCCCAAACATCATAATGAATAAATGCAAAAGGTCCAACACTTATATGAGAGTTTGGAGAAAAGATAACCCAATGATGTTTCGCTAGTTCACATGCATCACTTTGAAAACACTCAACAGACTCTCTTGAAAATAAAGATGAAAACATAGACATTAGCAAAGAAAAAGCAGGGTTGACAAGGCGCATGTTGAAACCAAATTTGTAAATAGCAAAACTGAAATGGTGACAAGTAACTAGTAGCTTTTGACTATGAGTTCCTTCATCAGAGCTATTGAGGATATAACACAACCCTCCTTGCTCTTCCCGTAGTAAAATCCTAAAAAATACAATGAAAGTAAGAGAAAATTACTACACATCTGTTAGAGATATATAAAACCATTAAGGTAGCCTCAACCAACAGCTTAAGCATTTGGGTTGAATTGGTTCTTTATATAGTATCAGAGCCTCAGTGTCATGGGTTCAATCATTAACGCCCCCACTTTCTCTTGTGGAATTTCTTAGCATAAGTAGATGGACTTGTGCATTGTCCACCCTTCAAGCCAGTGGGCTCTTGTGTGAGGGGGCGTGTTAGAGATATATAAAATCATTAAGGTAGTTTCACCCAATAGCTTAAGCTTTTGGGTTGAATTTGTTCTTTATAACATCTTAGGCCTTTGGTAATTTTATGAATGGAGATCAGGTGATTCAAAAGTTTGGGAACATGGAATATATTTTTCAAGTGTAGGAAAGGTTGGATATTGAGAGTACCACAACCAACAACTGAAGTATGTGAACCATCCATCACGATTATAGTATGCTTATTAGAACATGGTTGATAAGACAAAGAAATGTAGAAAATGAAAGACCATATAGTCAGTAGCACGAGAGTCAAAAACTCATGAATCTTCAAATGTATGGCTAGAGAACAAGAGCCAAAGGATTTACTAGGGAGTCAATAAGAGTTCATAGGCATGCCAACTCATCCTTGCTAAGGGCTAGTACCGCATCCGCCATCTTTGTGACCTCGCTTACGGAATCAGACGCGATGGTATGAGGAGTGCTGGATTTCTCATGGGTGATAGAGTGATAGGTCATTGTTTCCTACATATAGGTAGTGGATATTGACTAGAAGGAATGGGATAGAAAGTGTCGGCTCAGGGTTTAGAGTGGTTAAAGTGTGTTGAATTTGGGAGGAGAACCTACAGATGATGTCAATTCGACAAGGCCAAATATAAATAAAGGAGACAGAGACTATTAGAACAACACCAACGGCGGGCAGATGAATCATTACTCATTGCTAAAAGAGAAGGCCTTAGGTTCACGAACATGTAGATGTATTGGCGCATGGAAAGGAGATTGGAGTTGTGTTTCCGATTTATGGACAAACAGTAGACTATGCTCCTTTTGGTGGGGTCAATGGTCGGAAGGAGGTGGTGGATGGCGATGGCAACAACAATCTGAGTTGCCAAGAAGGATATATGCACAATAAATTGGCCACAAGGAAGGCATCAATTGCAATAGAGGCAGACTAAGATTTTTTGCACAAGGAGAATTTCCGAAAGAGAGCTTTGATGCCAAGTAGAAATCTAAAATACTGAATATTTTGATTATTCATGCACAAAGTGTTACAACATATAGATGGACGTGAGCAATTACTTTCCTAATAAAGCTAATTCTAGGTAAACAAATAATAGACAAACCTACCCTATAATCTATCCTAAATCTGTCTTATCAAATCTATCTGTAAAAAGGGAAAAAAGGGGGGAAAATATATAATAATCACATAATTTTTTCATTTATATTTAGAACATCAACCAAGTCACAATACAAGAAGCTTATAGGTTTAGAAAAGCCTTTTTGAAGTCAGAATTTGATTCGAATATCAGCAAGTTGGAATGATTATGTTACGATCCCATTTGCAAGGTATGGAACTTGAAGTCCCACATTGATTATATGGACAACTAATGTGGGATTTATAAGACTTTGGGCACTTTCACCCTTTGAGCTAGCTTTTGGGGTGATGCATCCCAAGGTTCTTATCAGATTAACTTATTAGTATCTTGGTCATCACTTTTAGACCAAAGATCTTGGTAAACTTCAATACTACTTAAGAATAGAAGTAGCACAATACAAGGCCAATATTGTAATTTCACAAAGGAGATATGCTATGGACATTATTGAAGAAACCAGTCTATTGAATGCACAATAAATGGATACTCCTATGAATCCAAATACTAAACTCCTATTAAATCCGGGGGAGCCACTTTTGGATCCAGGAAGATACAAAAGGTTAGTAAAGAAACTGAACTATCTCACAATTACTTTCGTGATTCATATCTTAAAATATATCAAAGGTGCTCTAGAAAGAAGGCCTTATCTATGAAGACAAAGGTCACACTCAAATCGTTGGATACTCTTATGTTGATTGGGTAGGTTCCCTTGCTAATCAAAAGTCCACTTCTTGATACTGCATATTTATAGAACATTTTAAACCACTCCCCGTTAAATCTGACTAGCGAGTGTGGGGTGGAGCCAATCCTTGTACGCATCCTTATCCTTGCATAATTGCAAAGAGGTTGTTTCCTGGATTCGAACCCATGACCTTTCAATCATGAAAAAACAGTTTTATCACTGCTCCGGTCCGCCCCCTTAGCATATTTATCGGGCATAATAGAACATTTTTTAAAAGTAAAATGTGGTGGCGAGATCATGTCCCGAGGAAAAGTATCAAGTCATTGCATCAGCCACTTGCAAACTTATTTGACTAAAACAACTGCTTAGAAAGCTATAGTTTGGAGAGGTTATGCAAATAACACTAGTTTGTGATAACAATGCTACATTGCACATTAGATCCAATCTAGTGTTTTCATTAGAGAGAAAATATTATCCGAAGACATCTCCACTAGCTTTGTTCACTCAAATGATCAACTAGCAGATGTTTTTCACTAAGTCGTTGAAAGGTCCTTGAATAAGTTACATATGCAACAAGCTTGATGCATATGATCTATATGTTCCAGCTTGAGGAGGAGTTTTGAAAATTATAGGTAACTATGTAATAGTATCTTGCTCATTTTGTGAATAAGGTAGTCAGAATCATGTAATTATGATAATTACATGAATAGTGATATTTGTTTTTATTTTGTATTTATTAAGTTTGGCTATGTAATCCATACCTTGTTGTGTATTTGAGACCCGTATTTTACCAAATGCCTCTTGTTTTCTCCTTACTTAATAGGTGGTTTTTCGTTTATAGGCTGAAGTTAAGGAAGAGTTCTCCTTTTTAATACCTTTTTTCTCTCCCGACAGTTTGCTATTCTAGTTTATATATTGTGCAACCTTTCATTCTAAACGAAAATCACACAGAGAGTAATTTTTAGTGCCTCTATTTTCAGTGTCCATGCAAGAGGCATTTACAGGGAAAGTGCATATCGGACAGACACAAAAAATTATCTTCTTACTTATATCATGTTAGAGAAGAAAGAGATGCTGCTTTTGGTAGTTTTATTTTCAATCACAAGTGGAAGTCATACTCTTTCTTCTGACCAATATTTCATGGAAGCTAAAGACAAGAAAACAGATAGTGGGTCTTAAAACCCATTGCAAAGGATCCTAGAACCAACTTAAATAAGGATCAGCACTGGGAATAGAAGTAAAGCTAAAAAATACATATGCCTACATAAGAATAGCATTAATAGGAGACGGGGAAGACAAATCTTTTTCAGAATGCACAATCAAGGACATGTACCCTGGATACAATCCAAAAAAACAAATTTGATATATTCTTTAAAGGCAAAGCAGGGAATCAATGTAGCAATAAAATTGGAGAATAGAACAAATTAAATGGAAAAACAGGGAAATCATAAAAAGAATCATCTGAAAGAAAGAAAGTAGGAAGCCCACTTTAAAATTTACAGCTAAATGCAAGAAGACATGAACACCACTTGATTACTGACCTTCTCTTGCTCTGGGGTGTACATCTGCTTACCCTTTCGTTCCCACCTAATATATGCTTGAATCTGTACAAGGTCTTCAGGGACTGAAACTTGTTGAACTAGCTTATCTTTTACTGGTAACTTGATGTGAAAGTTCGCACCATTGTTTTTAAACCTGTACATAGAAAAAAGCGAAAAACCAAGTTGAATCTTACTATAAAACTGTGAATTGAACGAAGGGGAGAAAAGAAACAAGATTATGAAAAGCACACCACTTATTCTGAGCTTCATCAAGTATGAGGAACTCAATGGCTTGTGCAGCAGGATCATCAATTTCAATTTTAAGGAAGGATCCTGAGCCAGACTAATAACAGAAAAGTAAAAGGAAAAATAATCAAAAAATAATGAAACCTATATTTAAATCAGTCAAGCCAGTTTATTAATATTCCTCGAATCCTTTTTTCTTCTGCAGTAATTATTGGAAACTTACTTTCACAAAAGGAGTTCTAAGAGCTCTGTTCTTATAATTTTTGGTTCCATCTGGGCAACGAGAAGGGAGTACCCACTTCCTAGAAACAATAAATAAGTATAAGGGGAAAAATAAATCTCCTTCAAGTTACAATATAGATTACGGTTTATTCTAAGATAATTCAAATGCCTAAGACATTAGAGGAACATGGAAAGAACTTAAAATAGTACCGAACATACCCTTGGGTATCACGTACAACTCCCCAGTGTAAAAGCAGAGAACCACTACAATTTGAAACCTGAATATCTACTTGTACTGCAGCACCTGGTGCGGAAGAACTAACACCAACCTGCTCCATTGAATACTTGCATCCATTAGCTAATAGATTACTACAATCTCATATTTATCATTCACAAATACAATTCAATATTTTGGGCCAGCCGTATACCTGCAATTCAATATTTCCCTCGAGGTTGAACTTCCCCGAAAGCTACTCCATGGCAAAAAAAATGCAGTCAGTACAGCATTCAAATTCAAGTCAATAAAAATAAACAAGCAAAGACACACATTGAATAATTAATTAAAACTTACTTTTGCTTATATGCGTGCGTGTATCTTATGTAAAGAAACTATTGTAAAAAACTAGCGGTATGAAGCTATTATGAGCAAACCATAGTCACAAGATAAAATGTGCCCAAATAACTAGTAGATATTCAAGCAACAGTAATAATAATAAAATAAAAAAAATTAATCGATTCAAAAGAAACCAAAACGATGTAACGTAACCACGATCAACATGTACCATTGCTTGGAGCATACCTCAGAAGCCGTATTCGTGGTCAACACAGCGCGTGGAATAAACTCGGAATGGCGGTGCTTTCCCATGGCTAATTTCCGTTTCCTCACACACAACCTGTTCCCGCGAGAATTTGTAGAAAGCAAAAGCTTCTTTTCTTTGTTCACACTCACCGCTTGGAATAAAGTGTTGGCCGGTATGGCACAAGAACTAACCTTACTTTGATGCTCCGCAACCGCTTGAGTTTGACAAAGCAGAGTGTGGTTGAAGATGCTGTGGCTCATTTTGGTGGATCCACTTCTTATTCTGCACGAATCGAAGCCTCAGCATCAGCATGCGCTACTCTCAAATTCACGCACAATAAACAAAATATCGAGCTTTGAAGTAACTCAGAAAAAATAATCAAGGTTCCCAAAAATATTGCGATGCGAAAATGATATGCACAAGAAAAGGAAAAGTCAAATTGGTGAAATCGTTTTTGGAAACAGGGAGAGGAACCTTCTTGAATCGGTGAAAGCTGAAACTGGATTCAGTTGGAGCTCCAGAACAGTGTGAGATTGAAATCTCGCGAGAATGGCAATGAAAAAGGAAAAAGGAAAATCTAAGTTGATGAAGGAGAGAACTTCGAACTGTGTTTGTATGATAACGGTTGCTTCACTCATCACTCATGGAACTAATATCAACGTCGACGAATACGTGGCGCAATTTGATTGGAGAAGGCTCAGGCAAAAGAGATTGTCACATGCGTTATGGAATGCAAACCGGCTCGTGTGAGACATTCACGTGGGGTACGTGAGAGCCGATACGATATCTTGGTGATATAATGATATTTAAACCCCCTTCTTCCATAACCGCCCCTGCTTTTCGACTTAACTTCAAAACTACCCTTCATTTTATGATATTTAAATAAAAATACTCTAGTGCAAAAACAAATTATTCATTGAAAAATATTGACTGTTTATAAATATTTTGATAATTTTATGTAGAGATTTGCATTTATCATTTCATATGACAAGAAAATTTTCTACACATATAATATTTTGTGGGATCCATATTTTTTGAAGCAAAAAAAAAAAATTACGGCACGCAAAACGAATCTCTATAACATTAGATAATCATTTTTCCTACAACATAACTCTTATAAAATCATTTTATGTATCTAAAAAAATTATTTACTATTATTACTTACTTAACGAGAATAAGTACAAAATTCTAAGAACAAACAATAACGACTTGTAAATTTTTTACTTAATTAACTAGAGAATATATTTATGGGTTTTATGTTTGTTATGTTAGTTATATGATGTAAAATAATTTTTTTACACACACAATTTTAAGTGGGTCTCATCTTTTAATTTTTCTCTCCTTTCTTCTCTCTCCTCTCTCTTCTCAATTATGTGTGCAGGAAAATTATGTTACATCATGTAACATAGCAAACATAAAACTCTATATTTATCGTATTGTATGTGAGAAAATTTACTAAGAAAAGAGATAAAAAAAAAATTGATTTCATTCATTTTTTGTGTGTTATATGAGATCATGTAACATTTGAAACATATTTCTTACTTAATGTGTTTAATACATAATTTTATTTATAATTGTTCATTACTCATTGGAAATAAATAGTCAATAGTAGTCAATCACAAGTTTAATCTCGATACAGTATGAAACTACAACTATTAGTTATTTAGAATTTTATATCCTTAAAATTAAATATTCTTTTAATGTTAATATTTTCCTTTAAAAAAATAATGAAATAAGTGTGTGTCAATCCACAATTAGATAAGTAAACAATTAGGAGAATGTTAGGGATATATTACTTAATAGTTTTAAATAATTTTGTTAAGAGTTAAGCATCATAATATTGAGTTGTTTTATTTCTGTTTATTTGTTGTAGTGAGTGATTACGAATTTGAATTTGTATTTTATCTATTTAACCTTTCATTATGTGCTTGAGGCAATAGAGCTTAATTTCTAATCATTTGAAGAAGATATTCGACAATATTTTTCAATCATAAGAGTATTTTTTTTAAAGGGTTAAATATTTTTTATGTTCTAGGAGATAAAATTATCTACTATATCCACATAAAAATGTATGTATAATAACTTGTACTTTTTTTTTTTGGTAATCATAACTTGTACTTATATAATGAGTAATTAGGGATTTTGCATGATTATATGACATTAATTAGATAAAAAAAACCTAATTATTTGTAATTTAAGTCACTTTCAGATAAAAGTGCAATTACAGGAATTTTTGATAAAAATTACAGTAATTTAAAAGTTACCAAAAATTTGAGAATAAGTTAGTTAGAGACTATCATATGAGAATAGCTAACCTTAAAATCCATGATAGATGAATAAATTCATGGTTATGAGTTGAACACACACATTTGAGAAAAATGTTAAGTCATGGCTAGTATAAATAGAAAAGCGAATTAAATGAGTAAATTGTCATGTTTAGACTATTGAACAACTCAAGTGGACCCAAGACCACTTAAGTGAATTAGTTTCACTCAAGAAAAGACCCCAAAAAAACATCTTCTTCTCCTCCTTTCTTCTCCATTTTCGAGCTTCACCATTGTTGAAGAGGAGAGAAACTTCCAAAAACCCTTGAGTGAGCTATAGTTAATGAAATTGAGTAATTCCAAAGCCAAACTTGCTTAGAATCTCACCCTCTACAAAATATAATATCCCAAATCCAAGTATTTAGGAAATTGCATGTGATTAAATAATTAATCATGCATTATTGGGTTGAATTAAGTAAAATACCTAATTAAATGAATTAAGAGCATTTTTGAGGTAAAAAGTGCAGTCAGTAAAAATAAGTGGTAATAATGTGTGTAAGCAAAAGTATCCAAAATGGAAAAGTAAAAATAAAAATAGTTCTAGAAAAATATTACAGACTTTTCGGTAAAGTTTGGAAGTGAACGGAGTTAAATAGATAGATAAGCTTATACCCGGTGGAAGCAATTTAACTATGTTAAGTGTAAAGAAATCACAACACTCCTCCCATTTTTCTTCATCTTCTTCGACGGACAAGAGAGCAAGAGAGGAAGAGAGAAAAGCTCAAACCCTAGCTTCTCCATTTCTCAACCAAATTCATCCGTTCTAAAGTCAAAAACGTAGAGAATCTTCTCCTCATTCCAAATCCTAGCTTAGTTTTGAGTGGGAAGCTTTGTGTAGAGAGATTCTTCCTTCCCAAGAATTCGAAAATCTTGGTGATTTAAGGAGTTCAATGGCATTTTCTTCCATAGGAGCTTAGTAGACAACCATTCATTGGTTGTGTGATCCTTTGGTGTAAGTTTTCACTTGTCAAACCTTGTTTTCATAGAAATTGCATGAGGTTGAAGATGATGAATAGTGATTTTATGGGTTTTATGAGTTTGAGTAAGATTAAGGCTAAGTTCCTTTGGAAATATTGTTAGGAATGATAAATAAATGATAGAAATGAGTTTAGATTGTCATTTTAGTATACTTCGGTATTTGATGAAATCTATGCTTGAAATTAAGGATTTTCTTGCATTGAAAGCAATGGTTTGGTTGGATGATTGATTTGTCCATGTGATTGCTAGGATTGAGGCAAGCGGACCACCCTTGAGTGACCAATCATTGGAGGGAGTTATGGAACTTGAGTAGCTCATTTGGATTGGTAAGTTCATGCCTTAATTGTGGTGTGAATTTGATTATATGGTTTTTGAATATGTTGTATGTATGTTAAATTGATGGATTTCACACTCTTTAATAGAGAGTATTGGTGATTGGGAGAAATTACCAAGTTTAGATACCAAGAAGGGTTGGTATGGGTAAGTGAGCTAGAAGAAAGCTTGAAAAGAAGAGGAAACATCAAGAGATAAACCTTTGGATCTTGGAGGTTAATCCCTCTTGTTGTTCCACCATTGCTTTTATGGAAGTAATGGTTGATGAATGGATGATTGAGTGGTAATGTTAGTATTATGGTATGTTTGCATTCATATAGTATTGTTGTGTCATTGGAGAAAGGGCCAACGGAAAAGCACTAGGGGCAGGGTTGTATGCTTAGTGGAAAGGACTGAGATGCAACTGAAGCTTGTGTGATGATTTGATTGTTTAATTCTTTGGCCATTTAAAGGCATGAGTATGTTGCGATTAAATCATTACTGTTATTGCCTCTGGATATAGGATATAGTTCATGCCCTGTGAATACTAACCCTTCATGCAGGAAGTGAACCCTGGGGTTGGAGGAATTCTTCAAGAACCCTGGGTTTATTGAGTTTTATCTCACCCCGTTTGAGGAATGTTATTTCAGGTACTAGCATGGATGATACATGATGAAGCAAGAGGCCTGAGTAGATGGCACATGATAGCTTGTCATTTTGGGATTGCATATCATCTAGGATTGCTAGATATATATGTCATTTACATTATTATATGTTTGTGTGTTTTGAGACCATATGATGTATTTTTTGAGGACTTAGTGCATGATCATTGTAGTGGTAACTACCATGTTGTTTATGAGCAATGGCTTTGATCTTGTCTCTTTGATAGCTAAGTTCTTTGGCATGTATGTAATTTTGAGGAACATTAATGTAATACGATATTATGTCATTGATATTATAGATTGGTGCAAGGATTATATAAGGGATTAAAGATAAATGATGGGATGTAAGAGCCACAATATGTGTTGGATATTGTTGGTCATTCCTAGTCTATTAGGTGTTAAGAGAATGGTGAAAGGGGGGAGAAATTTCCTCAAGAAGTTATATGAAAACAGGGGAAGGCATGTGTTGCCCAGCTAGAGAGCGCTAAAGCGCTGACAAGGGCGGTAAAGCGTGACGTGTTCGTGAAATGGAGGAAAAAAATCTCTGCCCTTTGGCGTTTTAGTGTCCAAGTGGGCGCTAAAGCGTGCAAGTGAGCACTAAAGCACACAAGTAAGAGCTAAAGTGCGCTGAAAACTTGGAGAAGGCCAAATTATCTGCCTCTGGACGCTCAAGCACCCAGTTGAGCGCTAAAGCGCACTACCCGAAAATTTACCAAAAACGTAGTTTAGTAAAACAGGCATAACTCGAGTTACGGAGCTCCGATTTGATCGAGGTTTGAACCCACTCGAAGCTATCAAAGAGATCTATAACATAATAGGAGATGAGAACTATAAAGGAATTATAGAATTCATTTAATAATAAAATAGATGAATATATTTAACCACGCGTGGTCAAATGGAATAAGAATATGATGTTAAGTTAGTTTCATTTATTTCGCAATGTCATATATTTATGGTCACGCAATTGGTTATTTAAATTCGGCTTTGTTCAAAAAGAAAATTTATCTGAATTTCTAATTGAACTAATGTGATTGTAACTGCGCTTAACATCATAAAGCAATGTTAACAAACCGGTTCTAGAAACGGGGTGTTACACAAAACCCTACCCTTATTTCCGAGTAGGAACCAGTGTGGAGAGAGATCTTTCCCCTCAAAGATTTTGGGAGAGTTTGTGTCCATTGGAGCTTAATGGGAGTCTCCTCCTTTATTATTGGGCGCTTAATGGTAAGTAAATCCCTTCCCTTTATTGATTTCATGAAGATTTGAGATTTTGGAGTATTGGATGATTAATATTCTGAAAATTGGTTATTTGGGTGTGTTTTGATGGATGT